TAGCAGCCAGCAGGGGGCGCCTTAAACCTGCGTCCTCTCAAGCGGCCAGCAGGGGGCGACTTAAACCTGCGTCCTCTCAAGCGGCCAGCAGGGGGCGACTTAAACCTGCGTCCTCTGTGAGAAAATGTTTCTACTTGTCAGCTGATTTATTCCCTCAGTAAACACTTTCCTGATGAGTTTCTGGTCTCAGTCGCTAGTTTCAAGTCTTCTTCAACACAGCATGATGTTCATTTAGTAAATTATGGTCCCATTTAGAGGAACAGAGACCAGGAAGCAGGGGAGGCTTTAGGGCGGGGCTACAAGCTGATTGACAAGTCGCGACCTGTCAATCAGGATAGAGGCAACTCGTATCCGCTGCTCTGTGTACATTTAACCAGCGCAGCTGAAAAAGCTCATCAGGAGTCGGCTGCTCATTTTTAAGTTTTAAGCCTGTTTGTTGCTAGCCAAAATTAGCATCCCAGCTAACATCACAGTTAATGTGAATTATGCACCTTGCTAACCAAGCTAGCTAGCGCCACCCTCTCATATAAGGTCACGTCTGTTGCCTGGTTGCAAAAAAACCCAAGATGGTGACGACCAAAATGCCTAACTGGAGGTTTAAAAATGGTAGTCAACAAACTGGCGGCTCCGCCCGTTTCCTTTATACAGGCTATGTTAGTAGCTAAATCTGTCAGACACTGCAGTAAAAAGTACAATATAACCGAGTTGTGTTGGAGAAGAAGTTCAAAATGGAAATACTCTAGTAGTGATTACACCACTGCTTATTTGGTTCACTCCAGATAACTAAATAGTTGGAGACACTTAGCTCATAGTAAGTTTGAAAATCAAAAGTTTGTAGTGAAGGTGTAATGTTTTTATGTTTTAACTGCTTCCTGTTAAGCACTTTGTAATGTTGGTTTTAAAAGGGCTCTATGAATAAATTAAAGATTTAATTGTTAATATATAATATAATTACATTTTGGATTTAATGATGAAAACGCATCAGTTGCAGTTTTGACTGAAGTTTTAAAATTTTTAATCCATAGCGAATAAAAAGAAAATCCTTTAAATAAATAAAAGTCAAAATTCCGAGTCTGTTTTTTTAAGTCAGTCCCACATTCACCGTCCTGCTGCCAAAAATACTCTTTAGAGCACCAGATGTGGATTCATCCGCCGCTGAAAATAGTCCTGAACAGATGCACCCTTTCCTTCTGTTTGTCTGATAGAAACTACGGCTGTTTGAGACTTTTTAAACATGCAGCTATAAATCTTTGAGCATAGCTGTCATTTACACTGGGGACAGGTCATTTTTCACATCACTCTTTTGAAAGCCTTTGTAAAAATGTTCTGAAAAATATCAGCAACAAATGTACAATGACAAACCTTTAGAAAGGTTTACGTATTTGCAAACAAAACATTCAATACTATATAAATATAGAAGAAATAAATGTGCATTGTCCCAAAAAAAGTAACTTAGGCTAAAAACACAAGCTGCTGATTACTGCATTGTATTTTTTATATTTTGAACTGTGACTTGCCGCCTGAATTTACAGAACGTAATGTTTCCGTTCATATAAATGAAAACATTTACAGCATAAATTGGCGCTGAATTATTCTTCAGAATGCAGGAAATTGAGTGTTTAATGTTATAAATGTTCCCCTAGACGCCCCTAATTATGATTATTGAATATTTCTTCTAAATAGTGTTAAAATTTCTTCTTTTGTTTTGTTCTCGTGAACCCAATATTGAGGCATCGTCACGTCCCTAACCAGAGCCCTGAGGTCCCGACCTCGTTGGGCCCTTGTCTCTTAAAGATTTATGTCCTCAGGAGGAACCAAAGGGCTCGGAGCTGAGAGCCTCAGACCGACAGGTTGCTGGTTTGAGTCCGAACGTGAGACTTGTTGACAGTGAGAAAAAGCCTTCACAGGGACGGATGTTCAGTGAGTTTATATTCAGACTGCAGATGAAGCAGATCTCAGAGGAGCTTCACTCTTTCCGGACGTCGGATCTAAATCGAGCTCTCTGTCTGCAGGACGGCTCCCAGGGGCCCCTGCAGCAGATACAGACCTACTTCTGCTTTAAGTAGGCCTCCGCCTCCTTTAACGGTCAGACGCAGTTCTTATGTCATGTTGTTCTGTGCATGAAAATGTATTTTCTTAAATGACATACCAGGGGATAAAATAAATATCAATAAAATATCTCGACCAAAAATTACAAGTGAACATTATGAGCTTCATGAAAAGAGTGTTTTTTTTACTTCTTTATTTTTAGAATAAAAACTTAGAAGTATTAAGATCTTTTACTTCAGTTAAAAGTACCTTGGGGTAAAATTAATCCACTATGAAAAAAAAATCTTGCATTTAAATTCTTAACATAAGTAGAAGTACAGAAGTATTATCAATGAAATGTAATTAAAGTATCACAAATAAAAGTACTCATTAGGCAGCAGAAGGACTCCTGTCAGTGTGATATTATATTATTTTTATGTATGAGCAGGATTTTATGTTGTAGCTGGTCAAAATAAAGTAAATTTTGACACTTTAATTTAACACAATTAATCTAAAATGTCTCATATTTTATAAAATGAGCATTTTAAATACAAAACCTGGATATTTATAGTAATTAGTTCTCAGAATTTAAAAATACTTGGCAGTACTTAAATAAATGTACTCCACTGAGGGCAGGGAGAAGAATATCATCCAACAGTTTCTTTTTTAAACATTCCTGATGTCTCTGCAGATCCCCTCCTCTCTTCTGTGTTTCCAAATCAACATTATTATTTTAGCAACAAAAGGTCGAGAGCTTCGTTACAAACAGAACAAAACACACGAAAAGCTTTTTAAAAGATGATGTTTCATTTACTCACTGAGACGAATGTTGCCATGATGCTGCTGCCTGCTGCTGTTCCTGCAGAGTGAGTGTGTGTGTGTGTGTGTGTCCTCATTATGTGTGATGTCATCAGGGGCGGGGCTAAAGATAGACACGATGTCATTGTTTAAAGCTCCCTGCAAAATCTAATCTTTGCAGATTAAAGATCAGAGGACAAAAACACACACTCAGTGTGCATGTGTGTATATATACATGATCGGTGTGTTTACGGACGAAGATCACACTCACACTCACAGTTGAACCTGAATCTAATTCTAAACTTAATCCCAAAATAAAAGGTGTGAATCACACAATAACCTCCTCACTTTCCCAAACTGGAAGTGTCCCGATTTTTCCCAACTCCCTAAAATTGTCCAGAAATGTCTTTGTTATCATGATTGTCCTCACTTTCTAAAACAAAGCGTCCTGAGACGTCCTCACTGATGGCGTCTGTTTCCAAAAGAAGTTTTACCTTTTTACTAACAGAGATTTCTGGTTTCCCACTAAATGACACACCCACGCAGTCTCTGACAGTCGGTTGGACAACAGCTGTGAGTGTTACACAACAACATAAAACAGAATTTATTAAAGGAGGTTTGGTGCAGAGTGAGGATTACAGTGTGTGTGTGTGTGTGTGTGTGTGTGTGTGTGTGTGTGTGTGTGTGTGTGTGTGTAATGTAGTTCAGCAGGAAACCAGAAATCTCAGTCAGACAGTAATGAGGTTAAAAATCACTGTTAAAGAGGGGAAACTATGCCTCCCCGTGGACTGTCTGAAAACAACTGGACCTCACTAAATGTCCAAAAGTATCTGGACACTTCTGTCCAGTTTGGTGTGGAAGAAGTTGAACTCAGACCCCCCCCCTTTGTAATTAAAAACTTTTCAAATTTCACAAAATGTCCTCGTCTCCAGAAAAATGCCTTAGTTTTTTAAAACACTCCCCTTTGCCTGACCAAAAAAAGTGTCTTTATTTTCTATAAAACTGTCCAAACCTTGCAGATGTGGCCTTTTCTTTTAACATGTTTCCAAAACAATGTGCAAAAACATCCTCACTTTCCCCCCAAAATGGGGTCATGTTCATTCAATCGGTCATGAATCAATAGTAAGGTCATAGGTGTCATTTACACTGGGGACACTGGGGACGCTGGGGACACGTCCCCACCACTTTTGAAACGGCTGATTTTGTACCCACCACTTTTTTAAAGCATAATTTGTTCAAATATGTTCTGAAATACTCTGTTTGAAAACAAATTTTAAAAAATGTCTTTAGAAAGGTTTATTTGCACATTAAGAAAACATGCAGTGCAAATCAAATCTAAAAGAATCAAATGCGCATTGTCCAAAAAAAGTAACTTAAGCTAAAATAAACAAGCTGCTGATTATAAAATGACCCCAAAACCGTGCAGCAGCAGTCAGTAACTTTAACAACTTCCTGACACAGTTTCTTTTCTGTTCTCTCCCCGTGAACGTGACAAAAGAGGAGGGAAGATTAAATCCTGCCTCAGCAGGATGATGTTACAGGAGAAACAGATCTGAGAGCTGCTCTCACTTAGATTCTGTTATATTTATATACACCTGCCACCTGAATTTTGGTTCCTTTTACATAAATAAAAACATTTCCACCATAAATTGGTGCAGAAACGTTCACCAGAATGCAGGAGATGAAGTGTTTAATGATCAAGTTTCCTGGGGGAGGCCAGACCCCCCACTCACATATCTCAGCACTGATTTCTTTAAAACACTGTTTAAGGATGTTTTATTCTCGTTCTCGTGAACCTGATAGCGCCTATCGTGGTGTCTCGCGAGCTAAGTGTCTCTTCACAGCCCTAATCTGAGCCCCTGAGCCATTTTAAGAGATGAGGAACCTTGGTGTAATTTAGATTTTTTTGTTCAGAGCACTGTGAAGACCTCAGGAATATAGCCAGACTTTATCTGTCGCTGAAAAGTTGATTAATTCATTTGTTGTCACGCGGCTGGATTATTGTTACGACGTTTAAGACCTCTAGAGATCTAAAACCACAATTAACAAATTCTCTGCAGCCTGGATCCTGACGGGAACCAGGAAATGTGACCATGTTATTCCTGTTCTGAAGTCCTAACACTGGCTCCCAGTCAGGTTCCGTGTCGATTTCAAGATTATGATGTTGACATACAAGGTATTACACGTCCTACCTCCGCAATACTCATCTGGTTTATTAATCCCTTACACCCCAAATGGCAGACTGCGCTCCTCACAGTGTAATCTGTGAATGCACCTCAAATCTATGGGTGACAGGGCTTTTTCTGTTCATGCTCCTTCACTTTGGAAGCCCAGACTCTTAAAATAAAGTATTTTATTATTATTACTTATGTCCCCACCACTTTTCAACACAAAGAGACGCCCATGAGTAGGGTGTCCACATACTTTTGGCCATGTAGTGCAAGACCAGAAATACCATGTTTTTATGTGAAAATGCTTCATGATTCATTATTAAATCTGTAAAAGTGGTCAGACTGTGCAGCTGTTGAAAGACGCGTCTGTGCCGCCAACTTGCGTCCTGCAGAGGAAGGTCATTTTACACAGACACTCAGGTTTTTGGCCTGTAAAGCATCGGACTTCCTTTGGTCAAAGGAATATTTATCGGTATTTCAGTTTTTTGGAAGCTTTATGTTATTTGTAACGTGGTTGTATGGACAGAAATAGTGTTTTGAAGAAAAAAGTCAACATGTAACTAGTAAATATGGCAAAAACATGGACACCGCCTGTACATATATTTCTTTAAAACTACCTGCTGTGTTTCTTTTCATCATATTTATAGTTACAGTTGTTGTCCAGGATATTCAGTTTCATTATTAACTGCAGGATGATGGTTTTGATGGTGATATTGCCTTTGAAATATAGATTTTATACCAGGCAAGGATGAAAATATATTTTCCTTTATTGCATCTTCATTTACTCTTTAATAGAAAATAAGTTAATTTATATTCCTTAGCGTCTGACCTGAAAGAAACAAAACAAATATCTCAAGCGCTTTAATTTCTTTAATCCTTGTTTAATTTCAGCTGAACAGAAGCTGAAAAACAACTCAGTCTGTGAAGCTCAAACTGATTTGACTGTCAAACTAACAGCTGATCCTCATCAGCATCATCTCCTCCTCCTCCTCGGCTGTCAGATGAATGTAGTGAAGTCAAAAGTACAAGATCTCCCTCTGAGTGGTACTTAAGCACAGCACTTGTACTTAGTTACTGCCCACCTCTGACATGCTTCTTATGGAAATCTCTTCCTGATGGCGTTTGACTGACAAATCTGTCTCCGAAGGAGAGACGAAGGACGAGATTCAGAAAACATTCGGCTGCTGGCGACCGGCGAGCAGGTGAGGCAGACTTTACCTCTTCTTCAGCTTGAGTTTTATAGCTGTTTAGAGATTTGTGTTTCTCACAGGACAGCGAAGCTACAAACATATGGTTATCTTATAGACCATGATGCACTGCTGCAGATTAGCCAGCAGGATATAAACTTCCACATTAATGCAGCAGGAATATTAATCCAGAAACCTCAGGTAGAACATTTTACTGCAACACTGTAAATACATGTTGCTGATAGTACTTTTACTGAAGGAAGGTTTACATGCAGGACTTTTACTTGTAGTGGAGTATTTTCACAGAGTGGTATTAGTACTTTTACTGAACTGGATGTGAATTCTTTCACCACTATATTAGAGTTCAAGTTCAAATTTATTTGTACAGCGCATCTAAAAACAACGCTAGTTGGCCAAAGAGGTGGGCCTACAGACAGGACTTGATTAGGGTAGTGTGGGATAAAACACACCCTAATAATAATAACAATAATAATAATAATAGTACATTTTATTTATAACACACTTGTCATCAAAAGATCTCAAAGTGCTACAGGTTAGAAAAAAACCCCAAAATGAGCAGTTCTTTAGAAAACAAAACATCTAAAGGGGACCAAAAGCTTTGCTAAAAAGAAGAAGCTCAATGCATTGGGTAACATATTATAAAATAAGATAAATACCTACAGGTGAGAAATTAATTTGTATTTAATCAATTAGTCATCCACATGGGGTAAGATGCTGGTTGACTAACTACTACTTTACTACTTTAACCAAAAATTATAAAAATATTTCTCTCTAAACAATTGCATAACTTATCTCAAAGCTCCCCTTAATGTAAATATACATATATATTTAAATTTAACATTACAAAAATTACAGCTTATTTTCACTGACAAAAAAAATTAGATCAACTTATGTCAGAATGGTTTTGATCAAATAACTTGTGATGAAACAGAGGACATTTTTAGTTCAGTGAGACGAGCGGCAGCCAGAAGAAATGTTGTGACATTTTGTGTTTTTTGTGGGGGCGTCTTACCCCATGTTACCCATGTCAGCAGTCTGAGCTTCTTTGAGTAGGTAAATTATTCCAAAGATCGAGAGCAGCCGCTGAAAAGGCTCTGTCACCTTTATTGTTTAACCCTGGAGCATCTGATCAGTGCTTTGACAGGAGTGTGGACGTGTAAGAGATCAGATAAACAGGAAGGCGCCATTTAAAATCATAAAGACAAAAAATAAAGTCTTACAATCAACCCTAAAGCGGACGGGAAGCCAGTGGAGCGAGGCTGAAACCGGGGGCGTGTGTTCACGCTGAGAGGTCTAGGTGCTGCGTTAATTTCTGTAACCAAAGAAGAGATGACCAGTCCAATCATACTAAGGAATTAACAGTAGTCGAGACGTAATAAATGGCTGGATTACTGTCAAAAAGGGCTTTAGCTTCAACAGAACTAATCTGTTTTTCAAATTTAAATGTACCGTCAAAAATCCCTCCCAGATTCTTGGTGGATAAACGACGACACGAGGAGCTACAGCTGAGCTCGCCTCAGCTCTGACTTTAGTTTTCATGCACTCTGAAAGGAAGCCAAGAAATAACATTTCCCTTTAAAGTTTTATTATACTTTTATTTTAGCAGACAAGTTAAATAAGATAACAGTTTGTTATTTACAACAACGGCCTGGCAGGAGACGCAGGACAACAACGGGCCTTAAAAACCATCCAGGCACAAATAAGACACAAAGAAAAAGAGGCCAAATGAGGGAATAATTAAACACAAGAAACACGATAACAGACATAAGAGAGCAAATGAAATGATCGAGGCAGCAGCTGTTGGAGTTTTATTGCTTCCTGACACAGGCCACTGGTGAAAAAACAGAATAAAACTCCACAATAAGCTGAGACACGTGTCTGGCAGCGGGAGAAGGATCCAGGGGCAGAATGGGACAGTTCAAGGATTTAAGGTCCAGCTGAAACCACAAATTACCTTACAGGTGGGTCGACAGGTAAAGGTGGCTCGAAAGCAAAGAAACATGCTGATGTGAAAAGGGGGCGGGTACATGTGCAGCAGGACGGAGGAGGAAATGAGGTGGGACCTGGTTTTAACCGGTCTGTTCATTCCAGGTACTTGTTTGGACTCATCGGAGGTGATCCAGGTGCCACCATGTGTCCTGGGCTGCTGCTGCTGCTGCTGCTGCTGCTGCTGCCAGCACTGAACTCAGGTAATACACAGGAATGTAGTATCAAGTACTGTCAAGTACACATTTTTAGCTACTTTTGCTTTGTTACGGAAGCCCGAAGCGGCCATCCATTCAAATATCTTTTTCTCCATTTTCCTGTCATAACGGGATAATTATGTTGTGATCTTGAAATAACAAAACAGAAGTTTAACACAGTGGTTTAATGGAAATTTGCTTAGGGCTTCCGTACTTTGTTTAATTAAAATTACGATTTTTACACAGAGAACATTAGCAGACTTCCCAAAAGCCAAAGCAAAACATTAAAAGCATCTGATGGTTCTGCTTCTTAAATGTGAAGATTTCTTGCTTTTCCTCTGAATGACTGTGATAACTGTAAAGTTTGTCAGTAACGTTGAGGTTTGGGCACAACAAGTATTGTGAAGGTGTCACGTTCTCATTCCCAACTCGTCACATATGGAAGTTTGGTCAACACCCCTTGGCGTCGCTTTTTAACGCCCTGGGTTCCCTTTAGGATAGTTTTTACACAAGAACAATTATGCAACATCCGGTTATACTTTCAAAATAAAACTAGGGGTTAACGTTGTGAAACGTCACAATTTGGTTAGGGTTAGGAAAAGATTGTTGTTTGACTTCAGATAACTACGTTACTTACGTCAGCTACGCAATGTTGGCGGCACACTAGAGGATAATATGGTCGATTTTGGTTCCAATTCGCCCTTCTGACAAACGCCTTCCCAAACCGAGGCTGGTTGGAACTGGTGATCGGTCCAGATGATCCTGTAGTGTGAGAAGACAGAATCTGAAGCTCCCTGATCAGAAACCCAGCAGCCAATGAGAGTGAGCAGAGCAGGAAGCGTCCCCAGCTTGTTGTGTATCTGCTCAATAAAATGTAGAAACCTGCTGATTCCCTCTTCTCAGCCTCGAGTTCATCCTCATCATCTTCTTTTCTGTGCAAAACGCAGCACACACGAGGTCGACCAGTTTGTTTCCGTCTGAAGTCACGTTTGATCACGTGAGATCCCGAGATGCCCTCACATTCATGTGCTGAACTGAATCTCACGGACTCGTAGCGTTAATTTACGGAGACGTGCACCACCTACGCTCCAAAGGAACGCAGGATACGCGTGGCAGCCATCTTGAGTACGCGTAGTTAAAAACAAGTAACTGGAGCTTTACTCTGACTTTTCTCTTATTTATAAAGGACTTATTTTTACCGTTAAACAGGCTTCGCTGTGCGTTGGTACCAGACACTGAAGGACGTCACAAAGCGTAGGTATTTGATGCCCTGGGAATGAGAACAGGCTGCTGCGACGCCATTTCTCGCTATTTTCAGAATCTTTACAAACCAACCAATCAATTAATTAATTGAGAAAAATGTATCCATAATGTAAATAAGTAGTTACAGTCCAATGAAAAAATACAGCAGTAAAGAAGTTTTGTTGGTGCCCGATTTTTGCAATTATCTGTAAATTGATTAAAAATGTTGAATTAGAAATGTTGCTCAGTGGATTTAGAAAAATATAACTGAGGTTTTTTTGCTTCAGCAGATTTTTTTTCCTTCCCCAGAATTCACGGCCTCTCTACCTGAAGACAACACTGGTCGGGCATTCATTGTTGCTTTTCCAGAGAGCATTGCCTTCTATTATCCCAGTCCGTCCCAGAACACGGTCCAAATCACTGCCTTGTATAATGATACTGAGGTCAACATCACATATACTAATAATAATAATAATAACTATATGCCAATCCAAAAATCAACACTGAAGGCAGGAGAGACCACTGAAGTCATAGTTAGTGCAACCCTGGAGCTCTCGCAGTCACCACCCTCCTCTCCTGTCCTCAACACTCTGAAAATTACCAGTGCCAAAAATATTACCGTCAGTGCCGTCTACCGTAAAAAGAGCATCCTCCAGACTGCTCTGGTCGTACCTATGGACCAACTGGGCACACAGTACCTCATCCCGCCGATACCCAAGGTCAATGGAACCAGTTACCCTGCAGATATGGTCACGACAGATGTAACCGAAAGAAACCCATTCAAACTCATTTTCGTCAATGGGGACAAAGACAACATCGTAACTGTTAATGGTGCAAAAGGCCAGAAATTTAGTGTTCAGCCCTACGAGGTCGCTCAGATGTGGGTAACAGAAGACGACAAATTGACATCTGTGAACGCCAACCAGCCGGTGGCGGTCCTCTTTGGTCACACCTGCGCCATCCGGGAAAAGTGCACCTGTGGGATGCTGTACACGATGCTGCCAGCAGCCAACCAACAGATGGACACGTTCTACATTCCTCCTGTTCTGGCCAAGGGTGCTGAAGATGACACATTTGTGCTTCTGTCAGAGAAAGGCTCCACCACCATACAGGCCTTCGATCCAAACAAGCCACTAGTTGAGACAACCGGCACAGTCGTCCTCTACCGTCCGGGCTTACTCCTCACTCTGATACCAGAGATGGACTTCGCCGCCTGTTATGTAATCAACTTAAAGAACCTCAACCTCGACCTCAACGTGCAGAACTTCGCCGTTATCGTGGTTCACAAGGACTTCACAGATGGGGTTCATGTTGGAAGGCTTTCTTTGAAGAATCCACAGTGGCAGATGCTGAATGGAACAAACTATGTCTCAACATATGTTGTTCTGCAGCCGGATTCGTTGGGTAAGGGCGTCATCTGGCACGCTTCTTCCACCATGGCTGTCTACTTTGTGGGAAATACGACAGGAGCTCTGTTTGGGAACCCAGCAGCCATCATCAGCAAAACCCCAGGTATGCAGCTGCATTATTAACCCACTGTCTGACCTCCACCTTAAAGTAAAGGATGTGTCAGGCCTAACTTTAAAAATGAGCAGTATTAATTTTCAAAACTCTTCACAAAACTTTTAATAAGTTTAGTAATTACTGCTACCCCATCAAGCTTTCCCTTCTTGCTTGGTCCGTACTGTTTGGAGTTTATAATGATGACAGTGGCAGAATTTCTGAACAGTGGAAGGACATAGCTTTGGTTTCAACACTGGACTCTTAAACTCTTTTCTGCATCAATTTATTGTGTATTTATATAAAGGGAAACATCAGGCGGCAGGTGACAATTCAAAATCGAAATATATAATGGAATATATATTGCAGTAAAGCTCTCAGGCAGCCTGTGTTGCTGTTTTCTCTTGTAGATCAGCTTTTCTCATTTAACATAATCCCTGCTCAACACACATTTGCTAAATTTCATAAATGCAAAATTAGGGACGTCACAAATGTAACATGACCCACAAAGTGACAGAAAGCAATCCACAAATGTGCAAAAACTGTTTCTTGTGTAGAAATTGACTGTCAAATGAGTAAAAAAAAAATCACTTTACACGTAAAATTAAAACACGTGTTTAGGAAATTGCACTGTATTTTTGTGGATATGACTTTACACAACACAAATTAAAAATACATGTTTGTGGGTAGTGAAATATTTGTGGATCATGGTGCACATTTGTGGATTGTCTCCTCATGCAGATAAAAAAGTAAAAACACGTGTGCATATAAATGATTTAAATAAACGTAACACACACAACATGTGGCAACAGCTGCAGTTATTTATATTTAAATTGTTTGGATCAAAGTTATTGAAAGGGACAATTCAGTAGTCGTTGGATATTAGTATATAAAACACTGTCTCTGGATGTCTTTTTAAATGTTTCTAGCTGACTTGTTGTGATCTGAGAGTCTTGTAAAAGGATCTTAAATATGAACTTGATGGCTACATACACAATATCAGGCTAAAAATGTTAAAGCTAACAGGTAAAATCATCAGTCTCTAGTTGATGGTCCTTTGGGAAGACAGAAACTCGCTCTGTGGAGATATTCTACCATAACCCAGTGTGCTGCTCAGCTTAAATACTTAATGTTTTCACATAGACATTACAAGACGCTAAACTGATTTGTTGTCTCAGGTTACTAGTTCAGCTGAGGTTGAGGATAAATTTCCACAAATCCAATCAATGACAAAGTCGCCAACATCAGTTTAAAACTCTGATAGCATCCAGGAGGTTTAACCCTTTCATGCATGGTGTCCACATTTGTGGACAGTTATTTTAACTCAACGTTGGGTCACTATGTCATTGTTTTGTTCTCCAAGTCAGGCATATCTGTGACAAACTTTTTATTCAAGGAAGTCAATCACGATAAAAAGAAATAGCAGTATGTGCAGTAAAGAGTTATTGACAAGTTTATGTTTTATAAATTAAATAATTTAGAGTAAAATGTAGTTTTTATACACCAAAAACCAACTGTCCACGTACACGAACATCATAGAACAGTGGAGTCAGATTGCATTATGTCTGATTTCTGTAATATGCCAGTTTATCTATTCTAATTTTATATTCTAACAACTGACATTGAACAAATATATGAAAATAAATAACAATGCAAAAGTGCATATTACAACATTAAACGCCAACTTACGACTGCTTTGCTGCCTTTACAAGAAATAAGAATAATTAATGTACTCACATACTGTAAAGAAATCAGTTTAACTAGAACTATCTTATCTCTTACATGTTGGATGTACTGAGATGATTCAACATGACGTTAGATGAGGATAAAAACATGTGACTGGGTTTCCACATGCACGTAACTACAGTTATAAATACCACCGTGAGTCATTTTCCTCTATTTGTTCCTAAAATATGTGTTTTATTGTTAATTTTCAACTATTTAGCTTAAATACACAACATGACATAAAAAACACAATATTCCAAATTATCAGGTGTTGCATTTTACTCCTGTGTTGCATGGTGTCCACATACAGGGACAGTTACTTGATTTAAAAATGAAACACAATTTTGTAAAAAATGTAAATGGATTTGCATTTTAAGCCCAGTTTTGAGTAATAAAAAGAATCAAAAAAAAATCTAGATAATGTTTTAAAGAATTCATGCATGAGAGGGTTTTTAACACAACCCGTAATTCCACAAGCTAATATGGTTGGCTAATGATGAACTTCTTGGCTTTGGCCCTCGTGTACTACTCGTAGATTGTGAGGTAGTCACCGGGGAAATGCTAACAATTGCAGCTTACATTGCACTTACATAGTTTTAATTGTTTTTGGAAAGGCTAATAAAAAAGACACCACGCTCCACACTTGTTCCTGCTGAAGCCTGCCAGCTCAGCTGTTTTCGGCTAATTGTTGTCCTCAGGCCTCCACAGAATGATCCACGACAGTTCCAGTGCGCTACAGTGAACGGGTTCTTATCAAAATGCCTCCTAATATCACTTTATCTGCTCTGTCTCATCTGAACTGCCCAACAGATTTCTGGGGTTGCGCCTTGAGGCCAGAGATCATAAAAATTGGAGAACAGGCGCTTAGCTGGCAGGCATCCATTAAGTACTGCAGTGGCAAAAACCTAAAGCTGGTCACCCTCAACAACGCCCAACTCCAGGAACACGTCTACAATGAAATCATCGAGGCCAAGAATGCCAGCCTGCAGGAGGTGTGGATCGGCATGCGCCGGAGCTCCCTGACTGGGGAGTGGTACTGGCTGGACCAGACTCCAGTCAGATACACCCACTGGGCGGAGGGGGAGCCCGGCGGGGTGTCTGATGGCCAGTGTGCTATCATGAGTCTGAACAGCGAGGCGTCTGGCTGGCGTGACAAGGACTGCTGTGTGGCCACTCGTCCCGTCTGCTACAGAGAGCCCATCCTCTTATTCAATTAGTGGGAGGATCCTTTCCAAAACCACAAAGCTGTGGATGTTTTTAGTACTATTAGCATAACCAGCTATTTCCAATAATATTATAGTTTAGATTAAAGCAAACTTGGGATTTGTAGCCCAGAGGAAGGACAACTGGGTTGAAAATGTAACATCAGCTTTAAGGTCTTTGCACAAAAAACCTTAAGATAAGATTTTTCTTAAAGTCTGGGTTAAGGTTTCCTTAAAATACATTTGGTTGCACAAAACACCCTTAAATCTTCTCCTTAAGGTTTTCTTAAAATCTTCACTTAAGTATTTGAGGTTTTCTCCTTATCTTGGTCTTATACTTAAGGAATCCCTTAAGTGTGTTAAACCGTTGCATAAAAGACCTCAGCAACCAAACTAAGGAAAAGAATTTAAGGGACCTCTGACTTTATCTTAACTGCAACACGGTTGACTTTATGGAAATTTACATATCCTGAGAAGAGTTCCACGACTGGGAGAATCCAATAGATCCGCTAAACAATGAGCAAAACATCACTAGCTAGCTAGCAATCCAGTCTAGTTTCGATCTATAGCGTAAATAAAGTTATTCTCACCAGTTTTATTGGGTTCCCTCTTTTTTTGGCAACAACATACTTATTATATGGATCTCCTGGATGAACCTCTTCACAAGACTTCTAACTTGTCTCAGTTACCTGGAAGGTCATTGAACTCTTGTGGGTTCGGCTAGTGACTCCAAGCTAGACCTGTCTTACCTTTCCCTGTTACATCAATTAAGCCCCCTAACAAATATCTTTAACAGCTTTAACCATCTGAAATTTTCAAATCTCAAATAAGCAGCCAACACCTGCAGCAGGTAAACAGCATCACCGGTTTATGAGCTTTTTAGGCTTTTAGATGCAGTTATAAAGAAAAGAACAGCATATATCAGTTACAGGAAAACCATTAATGCTGAGTGGAATGGGAATATGTAGCTGTGGCCATCTCACCTGCTGGCTTTTCTTTAAAGGTTTGTGGCTTTTTGGCATTTATATGGCATGATAATATTTATATGGTGAAATAAATGTCAAAGTAAGATTCTGGTCTTAACTCAGATTTGATGGGAAATGTACTCACTGATTTTTGGCCTAACTGGCTAATGTAGTAGATATTGATTAGGAATGAATTGAGTGTTTAAATGGAGTCTGTGATCTGATTGGCTTAAGGACATAATATCCATCTCTTTTGTGTCTTTAATTCAGCAGCAGCTTGTATTTCATTATTAAAAATAGCTTTAAATTTCAGATGTAGGTAGAAAACACTGCCTGGACCATTAAATCCATTATAACGTGTGAAACTCGACTGCTGTTGTGTTTTATTTCCCACAGCTTCAACACACATTTGCACATCACATTATTAACATTCATAGGAAGTTGTCCTCTGAGGGGAACTGATGCCTTCAAACCATTGTTGAGAAATATCTTCAACATATATAAATACATTTTTATTATATTTATATTAAAGAGGTGGCATTCTGCTCATTTTCAGGTTCAAAATCCTATTTAGAGGTTGTACCAGAACCGGTTTCCATGGTTATATTTTTGTCCTACTGCACATTGCTGCAGCTCCTCTTTTCAGCCTGTGTTGAAGGCTTCGTTTTAGCTATGGAGTGATACATCTTGTCTCTAAATGATCTTTGTTGGGAGTTGCACATGCTCAGTTCCTAGTTAAGGACTACTAGCCAATCAGAAGCAGAGAAGGGCGGGTCGGCGAGAAGCCGGTAAACAGCTCGGGTTCAGCCGACCGGCTTGGCAACATGGACTGGAGCGAGAGTTTCAGAGCGGTGAGTTATTAATCTGTATCCATAAAGTTTTAACTGAGCTCTGTCTCTACATCACAGGAACAACTTTATGTCCACTGACTGCCTGGAGGGTAGCTAGTGTTTGGAAGGGAGAGGAGAGCTGTGTGCTGCAGCTCGCTGTTTCTGAGGGCGTGTCGGAGTCGCCGCTCGGCGAGCGTTATATGAGGCGCGTTTAGCTTTCATCCCTGTGATGTCACAGGGATGAAAGGGAAGCGGCTGGACTACAAAGTGGGAGAGTTTTCTGTGGGAGATGGGAACTCCCTTTGGGCTGAACTTTGGGCTTTTTCACTTTGCAAACCCGTTACATGCACAAAAAAGGAATATAACTCAATAAAGGAGAGGGGAAAGCAGAATACCACCTCTTTAATATTTAATAAACTGCCAATTATGTGCACGTACAGTTTGAAGGGCAGTTTGAAGGGCAGCGTGAGCTCCGACTTCTCTAAAATCAGAAAAGAGATGTTATGGGAAAGGTTTAATAATTAGTTTTAATAATTCCAATGCTAACGTGAGAGACTTTAATCAGTGCACAGCAGGTCAGCTGAACATTCAAAAAATGTGAAATTTGTCTGCAGGTAAGCAAACAGGTGAACATATATGAAGAATAAAATTGGATAAAAGATAAAAGGAAATGTCTTATTTATTAAGAACAAATCAATATTTGCTTTATATTTTTTAACACCGAATTTCTTTCTATTTAGCACCAAATTATATAATAATACATAATTACCTTTCCAAAAAAAAAAATTGTCCTTAGGTGTGGAAGTGAGTGTGAGTGGCTCTGCGATGGACTGGCGGCCTGTCCAGAATGGACCCCGCCTTTCTCCCGATCACAGCTGGGATTGGCTCCAGCCCCCCCGCAACCCTGTACGCAGGATAAGCGGTGGACTATAGATGGATGGATGGATAATTACCTTTCCAGGAAACTCCTAATGGAAATCATTCAGAAATGACGGTATAGGCTACTAAAGAAACAAAATACTAATTTATAATTACATAATCATTTATTACACTTTACATGGCTCCTTCCAAAAAACAATATTTCTTCTCAATAAACATATTTATTATTTAAAAATGTGTTTCCTTCAGCACTTTATTGGATGTTTATCAGGACAAAGAAGCCTCTGAAACTGTTTTTAGGTCTAGCAATTAAATATAAACATGGTAATAATAATGATAAGTCTTCCCTAGAAATACAGATAAACCAGGCAATCAAAGTGGATACACTTTCTGTATTAAGCATTTATAAACAGTGTGCAAACATTTAATAAAGGGTTTGTAACACACTATAATGTAGCTGTAGGCCAATAAAAGAACATTTAAAATGTTTATTAATGTTCAGTATTTGTCAGTAATTATAGCTTCTCAGTGTTTTATTGTTTTAAATCCACTTCCTGTTGTTAATAAATACATATAAAAACAGTGTTTATTTTATCTGCTGGTTATTAACCCTTTATTAAATGTTAATATAGTGCTTATAGATGCTGAATAAGGGACTTGAAAGAACGTGCTGCTTAAAGTAAACACATTAAATGACATCAGCGCAGGTTATTTCCACCAGCAGCTGACTCCCTGCAGAGCTCCGCCCTGCACCATCCACACCCCCATCGCCAGCAGCAGGAGGACCTTTGCCCCCAGAGACGCAGACAGGAGGAGCAGGAGAGGGGACGAGGCCCCGGGGACGGCCGGCGGGGGTTTGGGGGTCAGGACGTACAGGGTGGCCTGCTCTCTGCCCAGAGGGTTGGAGGCGCTGCAGGTGTACTGCTGACCCGGCAGCACGTCTCTCAGCTGGCTGACGGTGTGGAAGTGTGGCGCAGAGCCCTGAGCCAGCGGAACGACCAGAGAACCCTCCAGCAGGTCGTCCGGGCCGAGCCACTGCACGTCCGGCAGCGGGGAGCCCTGGACCCGGCACACGGCTCTGTACCCGGACTGCTCAGTGCCCTCCACTGACAGATCCAGGATCTTTGGAGGAGCTGCAGCACAAACGGGAAGAACACGAGTGAAGGGAAGGAAAATGAATCCAGAGTAAATGTACTTATATATATATTTAGGACTCTGTGGTCGGCGTACACGTACCCTCTACTCTCAGTCTGGTTCCCATCTTGTCCTCGAAGCTCACATGTTCTCGCCCCTGAACCTCCACTCGGCAGTAGTAGCGTCCGCTGTCCTGCAGGGTGGCGCTGTTGATCCGCAGCGACAGGTCGTGCTCCCTCGGGTTGCCCTCCAGCCGGTAGCGCTGGTCCTGCTTGGGCCCCGGCTCGCAGGTTGGGGCCCCGGCCCGGCTGGTGCAGCGGTACAGGACGGTGGCGCCCTGGCCGTGGCCCAGACGCCACAGCACCTGCAGGGAGGAATGCTGGGAGTGCGTCGGGTGGCTGAAGGTGCAGGGCAGCAACACCGGGTAGCCCTGGGTGGCTCGTACCTCCGACTGCACGATCATGGACCAGCCGTCATCTCCGAGGGCCGCTGGGGGGGGGGGATTCTCTGTTACAGGTGAAAGTCCTGCCTCCAAAACTTAAGTAAAAGTATGTATAAGTATTATCAGCAAAATGTACTTCAAGTATCAGAAGTAGAAGTACTGATATTGCAGTAAAATGTTCTGTATGTGTTAAGTAAAAGTATGTAAGAATAATCAGGAAGATGTACTTAAAGAATAAAAAGTACAAGTACTACAAAAATGTCCATATCCCTGTTCATCATCATCATATCTCCTCTCCTCAGATTCTTCTTCTTCATCAGATTTCAGCTGGTGATTCTTTTGATTCTGAATCAGTCTGCTGGTTATTTCCTCCATCGATCCACTGATTCTTTGGTTTGGAAAGATTCTGCCGTCACAGTTACCCAGAGCCCAAAGAGACGCCAAACGCTTGTTGTGTCCAAAGCTCAACGTTACTAACAGACATTCAATTTATTGAAATTAACAAATGGGAAATCACAAATCACCTTTGTGAAGCTGGAAGCATGAAATGTTTTTGCATGAACAGTGACTTAAACGATCAAAATAGTTGCCAATTAATTTTCTGATAACCGACTAATTGTGTCAGCTGTGCTTTTATAAACAGTTGGAAAGTTTAATTTATAAATAAACATCATATTTTCTAAACTCTTTGTGTGTTTTCTGTGTAAAAATCTGACTTTGTAAAGTAACTGAAGCTGTCAGATAAATGTAGTGAAGTGTAGTGGCTCTCTCACCTACTGGCTTTTCTCTAAAGGTTTGAAGCTTTGGTTTGTTTACTCTACATCACACATTTATATGGCATGATAATATTTATATGGTGAAATAAATGTCAAAGTAAGATTCTGGTCTTGTTGGGAAATGTTCTCACTGATTTTTGTAGTCGATATGAATTGGTTGTTAAAATGGAGTCTGTGATCTGATTGGCTAAAGGACAATATAATCATCTCTTTTGTGTCTTTAATTCAAACAGCAGCTCTATTTATTATTAAAAATAGCTTTAAATTTCAGGTGTAGGCAGAAAACACTATCAGTCTTTGGTGTTACTGCCTGGACCATTAAATCCATTATAACGTGTGAAACTCGACTGCTGTTTTATTTCACATTATATCACATTATTAACGTTCATATGAAGTGTCCCCCTGCGATAGACTGGCGACCTGTCCCGGGTGGACCCCGCCTTTCGCCCGATGTCAGCTGGGATTGGCTCCAGCCCCCCGCGACCCTGAACGCAGGATAAGCGGTTGACGATGGGCCATTGTTGAGAAATATCTTCAACATATGTAAATAACTATTTATCATATTTATATTAGATTATAAGGGCGTCACATTGTGTTGAAACGTGTCGGGGACATAAGGGCTCAGATTACAGGCGTGATGATACACTTTGGGTCACGAGAACAAGACAAAAGATTTTTAACACTATTTTGAAGAAATATGAAATGCTGAAATACTATATGAGTGGGGGTTCTGGGAGTCCTCCCCCAGAAAATCGGAGCATTAAACACTTTATTTCCTGCATTCTGGAGACAATTTCTGCACCAATTTACAGTGGAAATGTCTTTATTTATAGAAAGGGAAACAAAAAAATTCAGCTAGCAGGGGACAATTCATACATATAAAAATATAACAGAATACAGTATAATGCAGTAAGTAGCTGCTTGGTTTTTTATACTTAAGTTACTTTTTTGGATATATTTAAATTGAATTGCATGTTTTCTTATTGTGCAAATAAACCTTTCTCAAATCATTTTCATTTTTTAGTTAACATTTCTTGGTGCAAGCTAACAAATGCTTTCAAACATGATCAAAATCAGCCATCCCAAAATGTGGCGTCCCCAGCGTCCCCAGCGTCCCCAGCGTCCCCAGCGTCCCCAGCGTAAATGACACCTATGTTATAATGGAGTAGAAGAAGAAAGTTGCATGAAAACAACATACTCAAGTAAAGGTCAGGTACCACTAATTTGTACTTAAGTACAGTACTTGAGTAAATGTATTTAGTCACTGTCCACCAGAAAAACAGCCTGTT